TATATGTATATATAAAAACCAAACCAAACTCACTGCCTTTAAGTCGGTTCTGACTCATAGCAACCCCTCCTTGGGTTTCTCAGGCAGAAAGTAGATTGCCCAGTCTTCCTTCTGAGGAGTGGCTAGTGAGTCTGAACCACCAGTCTTGTGGTTAGCAGTCAAATGCCTTAGGTACTATACCACTAGAGCTTATACACACACACACACACACACACACACATTCCCCTCTGTTTTTACAGATAAAGTAAATGAGGCTAAAATAGGTCAAGGAATTTTCCCCAAGAGCATCCATCTAGGAAACGGTAGAGGAACATCCAGCATGGTCAAAGCTGGTACTGACAACTTAAGTTTCTGCTCCAAGCAGAGCTAAAATGAAGTGAAATTTAATAATGCCAGATTAATTATATGTATATATATATCAAAATATCAAGTGAATAGTAAAAGAATTCTTGCTTAGCTCATTTGGTTCTTAAAGTCTTTTCCTTCTACAAACTACAGGAAAAATATCTTATACATCATCTGTGGTTCATCCATCAATCAGATGTAATGGTAAGACTGACAGGGACAATGGGGGATCTACAAGCAAAGTATGAATTCATGCTAGAAACATGAGAATAAGAACACTTATAATTCTTGATAATACAACCTCCCATCCCATAAACCACAAAGATAAATTATATAAAATTTTATAAATAACTCAATAAACTAATATCCCCCCAAAAAGAGAAAAAAACACTTTAGAAAAATTGTGTGTTAAAAAGGAAGAAATCATTCAGATAATTGTGATTCTGGGAAAATGGCAGCCTAATCACATGACCTTACCACCTACCCTTCCAAGTAAAATCCAGCTTCTAATCATCAACTCTGAGCAGAGCAGCCAGGAAAACAGAAGGCCCTGTGGGAGCTAGATGCAAGTGGGCAGGAACCCTGGGGTAAAGATGACAAGACTGACGATCTTGTAGAGACCACAACCCAAAGAATTCTGTGGTAACCTGAGGAAGGGCAACTCTAGCCTATATGTGGCTCAGTAGGCCTGTGGTGGAGGTGACCAAACCCTGAGGGCTTCCAAATCCTAGAGAACAAGTGTCTCCTTACTACCATCTGGCTGGTCCCTCTCTGGCCCACATAGCAGAGACTGTGTGTTTCTCCCATTCATAGATAAGCCATGCTTGAGCTACCTTCATAGGAGCTGGACATTATGAGCAGGCAAAGGAGCAGAATAATGCACCTATGGGCAGTCAGCAGGGAGAATAGGTACAATAAGCAGAACACAGAGGATTAATTGCTACTGGTCAAATATAACAACTGGAGGAGATGGATGACAACTCATAGAAGAGAATTATAGCACTTAAATTATTCCGTTTCTGCATCAAAAAAAAAAAAAAAACCTTTCAAAAAGGATAGCACGAATGGTAGCACAACATATAAAATGTAATCAATGTCAGTGAATTATAAGTATGGAAGTTGTGCTGGCATGTTTTGGTGTGCATATATTCACACACTTGAAAAACAAAATTTCTAGTCTTTAAAGGCTGAATCTTAATTAAAATTCTGTAGATAAACTGAAGGAGGGTTTGATCACTGTTGAGATCCAATCTGGCAGTCTGGATGATCAAAGGGATAAGATATCTCAAAACAAAATTTAAAAGTGACTAAAATTATAAAGGAAACTGAGAGGACAGATCTTGAATACCTAACATGGAATAAAAGGAGTCTTAAAAGAAGATAAAGGAGAAAAATGAACAGGTAAAAAGAGGCAACAGTTAAGGAAACAACAGAAGAAGATTTTAAGAGAGACTTGAGACTACAGACTGAATGTGCTTATTAAGTTCCTGGCATGACTGATGAGAATCAAAAACAAAATGTACAAGTATAATATAAAATATAAGAGTGCATATTGGCAGAGCATACTGAACATGACTTGATAACAACTTCTTAATATTTAATGACTCACTTTTCCTTGAGCTCCTTCAGTGAGCTTTCTAAGGGCTTGGATTTTATGACTGCACAGGTAGGAAATTTTTCCCATTTTCCATCTCCAATATCAATTTCCTCTGCTCTTTCTTTTGGTTTCTCTGTGGTTGGTTCCTCTCCCTTTTCTGGTTTCTTAAGAAGCTGAGAAATTATAATGTTAGTAAAATATTACTTTAAGAGTATGTTATAATAGAAATAGTTTAATAAATAATTAAAAGTATATGACAAGAGAACAGAACAAGACAGCAAAGTGAGTGAATGTTCCCATTTACTTCCCCAGCAACTAACCCACTGTGATAGTTAAGGCTGAGTGTCAACTTGGCTGGGCCATGATTTTAAGTGGTTTAGCAGTCATAACATAGTCATCCCCTACAATGAGACATGACATAATGTAATCACCTCCATGATGAGATGTACTATGAACAGCCAATCAGTTGAAGGGGAGTTTCCTCAGGGCAGTGGCCTACTTCGAATATATATGGATGTCCTGGGAAAATTCTGTGGCTTTCTGCTGGATCTTGATCTTGTATTTGGGTCATCATCATCCCCAGAGCCCGGACTTGAACGAGTGGCCTGGCATATTGCCTGCCAATTTTGGGATTCTTGCCTTCATAGCCAACAATCTGCCATTTTACCTGCCAACACTGGATCTATCAGCCTCTGAAGCCAGCAGCCTGCTATGCTGCTGCTGATCTTGGATTTGTTATCCCTGCAGCTGTGTGAATCAGGAGAAGCCTCCAGCTTGATGTCTGACCCACAGACTTGGGACTTGCCAGCTTCTACAATTGTTGGAGCCATTTCATTGAGATAAATTTCTCTATATATATATATATTTATAAGCTTCACTGGTTTTGCTTCTCTAGAAAGCCCAGCCTAAGACAGCCACTGAACAATGAATAAAAATAAACACAGACTAAGATCTTAGAACTGGAGAGCTGGAGAGGCAGGATGAGTCCAGAAGTGAAGAAGAGGAGGAACAGTTATGGCACAGAAGCTGGGAGAACCTAACCACTGACATCTCATTGCAGCCACTTTGGGATGGGGCTGGGTAACACTTCAAACAGGGAACACAGAAAGGGAGCTAATCAGAGGAAGCTGTAGCCAGATTTTTTAAGGTGAAGATTGGACATGGGAGTTTGCACATGTTTTGGTGTTCATATTTTGGTGTGCCTTGCAATTGGGAGGAGGTGAAGGGAGACCGTGGCACTGAGAGAAAGTGCTGTTCAATCTTGCTGAGGTCCAAGATGGATGAGCACTAGGATAGGGCAGAACTGCAAGGACAGGCAACACAGAGGGAAATGGCTGGCTCCCTGCTCACAATGGGATACTGTAGGAGAGCCTGTCCAGGGGTACCTGTGAGGGAAAGACTTAGAAAGGCCCCAACCTTTGCTACAGGAAAGTTGAGTCCCACCACTTACATCAGTGTTGGTGACCAGCTACTCCCTCCATAACTCCTTAATCAGCACTGAAAAAAATCTGAAGAGTGCCCTCTAGTGGTTCCCAAGATAAGATACAAAGCCCACTGCCACTGGGTTGATTCTGATTCATAGCACCCCTGTTGCTATGAGTGGAAATGCTGCATGGGGTTCCCAGGGCTGTGAGTCTTTGAGGATGCCACATCTTTCTCCTGTGGAGCAACTAGTGAGTGTGGGCCCTGGCCTTTCAGTTGGCATGCAGGCTCTTGGCCACTGTGCCAGTGGAGCTCCTAATAAGAAAAAATTTCCCACAAAAACCAGAATACAAATTTTAAAGTAAATAAATAAATACATACACACACAAAACAGAGTGGCCCAAGTTCAACGAAAAATAGTAAAACACACAAAATAATAGCAGAAGACCTAATCAATAGGAAGACATGAAGAAGAGAAATTTATCCTATGGAGGCCAGACTAACGGAAAGAATTGAAAATTTTCAGACTACAGTGCTAAATATGTTTAAAGAAAGCAAAAGGCACACAGAACTACTAGAGATCAGGAAACAAATGGAGGAACAAAAGGAAAGACTCAACATGGAAACTGAGAACATCATAAAAGCAAGCAAATACATAAAATCGGAAGAGAAAATGGAATTGAAGAATAAAGCAAATGCATTAGAAAAAATGAGAAATAACAATAAAGTTGAACAGATAGAAGATAGAATAAATGAATTAGACGACAAAATAACTGAACTTACCAAGTCTGAAGAGAAACAAGAGAAAAGAACAAAGGAAGTGAACAAACTCAAACAGAAATACAGGATTAAATAAAAAAAAAAATCTAACATTAGAATTACTAGCATCCCAGAGCACTGACAACAAAGGCATAAAAACAATTTTCCAAGAAAAAATGAAAGAGAATTTCCCAGACCTGAACAGAGAACAAAGCCGGCCAATACAGCAAGCTACACATACCACAATTAGAAGAAACACAAAAAGATGAATTCCTTACCATATCTTAATACAATTCTTGAAAACCAAAGACAAGGAGAGAATTCGGAAAGCAGCAAGAGAAAAATGCAATATAACATACCAAGGGACTTTCCTAAGAATCAGCGTGGCTCTTTCCCCAGAAACTCTAGAGGACAGAAGACAGTGGAATATGTATACAAAATACTGAAAGAAAACAATTGCCAACCAAGAATTCTTTACTCAGCAAAGCTGTCATTCAAAAATGAGGGAGAAACCAGGATATTCCCAGACAAAGAGAAGCTCTGGGAATTTGCAACTACCAAACTAGGTTGGCAAGTATTACTTAAGGGAGTACTCCAAATGGAAAGGAAAAAGCATTAAAAAAACATTTGTATGTACACATGGGGTAAAAAATGAGAGAAAAAGGTCTCCAAAACATGCAACAACATGGGCAATTGTAAAGACCAAGAATATGATTATTTTCAGTGAAAAAACTCAGTAATTAAATCCTATAAACAATACAAGATCAAGTTTGTAGGAAATAAGTACAAAGTAAGCTTATTGACTACAGGTTGTATAGCAGTGTTAATCAAGGAGCTCTGGTGGTGCAGCACCTAAGGCATTTGACTGCTAATCAGAAGGTCGGTGGTTCGTCTCACCAGCCACACTACAGAAGGAAAACCAAGCAATCTATTTCTGTAAAGATTTACCACCTCAGAAACCTAATGGGGGTTGCTACGAGTTGGAATCATCTAAATGGCAGTGGGTTTTTAACACTGTTAATCAAGACATACCAACAGAAATGGGAGAAGGAAGAGCATATCGGGAATAGATTTATCATGTTAAAGTTGTATGTAATTGTTGTTCATATGACAAATGTTGTAGCAATTTTAGGTTATGTGATGTAATATATATGGTAAGTTGTAGAATGTAATATATGTGTTAAGTACTAAGAAATCATTGACAAAAAACATTCAGAAGAAAAGAAAGAAGAAAGCAAAAAGGCTCATCACAAGAAAGCAGCAAAATACAAACAAAAACAGAAATATCAGAATAAAAAAACAAAGAAGATATGAAACACTCCTCCTTCAAAAAATTGCACAATGAGTGACATAAGCATTTTGTTTTTTAGTAACCTTAAGTGTAAATAAGGCGCTCTGGTGGCATAATGCCTAAGGCATTTGACTACTAACTAGAAGGCTGGCAGTTCAAACCCACGAGCTACTCCATAGAAGGAAGACTGGGCAATCTACTTCTGTAAAGATTTACTACCTCGGAAACTCAATGGGGGTCACTATGAGTCTGAATTGACTCAATGGCAGTGTTTTGTTTTGGTTTTTTTTTGGTGAAGTGTAAATGGTCTGTACACCCTAAGCAAAAGGCAGAGTGTCAGAATGGATTTTTAAAAAAACATGATTCATCCTTTTGCTGTCTATAAAAAACATTAGACACATGGACACAAACAGACTGAAAATAAAAGAATGGGGAAAAACATTCCATGCAACCAGTAAGCAAAAAAGAGCAGAGATGGTCATAATGATACCGGATACAATAGCCTGTAAGTCAAAATGTATCACAAGAGATGAAGAAGGGTATTACATAATAATAACAGGGTTAATCCAACAAGGAGACATAACAGTTATAAATATATATGCACCTAACAGCTATGATCCAGAATACATAAAACAAATACTGACTAAAATAAAGGAGAAATAGACAACTCCACAATAATAGGAGGGGACTTCAACATATCACTTTCAATTAGAGACAGAGCCTCTAAAAAGATCACTAAGGACATTGGGAACTTAAGTAAAACCATAAGCCATCATTCCATCCACCATCAGAACAATACATACACATTCTCTAGTGCATGTGGGATCATTTTCCAGAATAAACCATATGCTAGGCCACAAAACAAGTTTCAACAAATTTGTTGTTGTTGTTGTCAAGTGCCGTCGAGTTGTTTCCGACTCATAGCAACCCCATGCACAGCAGAACGAAACACTGCCCGATCCCGCACCAGCCCCACAAGCCCTGCTATACTTGAGCCCATCATCGCAGCCACCATGTCAATCCATCTCGTTGAAGGCCTCCCCCTCTTTTGTCGATCTCCACTCTACCAAGCATGACATTCTTCTCCAGGGAATGGTCCCT